CCCCCCGGGGGGTCATAATTTAAACAAATTTAATTACACTACCTGAACATGCTTCCACAAAAATATATAATTTATGGCTTTGTCATTCTTGAAAGAAGTTTTTTAAAGAATTTTCCTATATATTTCTATGTAAAACTTTGGTCGGCCATTTTGGCCCCGCCCTACCCCCGGGGGTCATGATTTGAACAAACTTGAATCTACACTACCTGAGCATGTTTTCATTTGAATATGATGAATTATGGCTTTGTCATTCTTGAGAAGAAGATTTTAAAAGAATTTTCCTATATATTTCTATGTAAAACTTTGGTCGGCCATTTTGGCCCCGCCCTACCCCGGGGGATCATGATTTGAACAAACTTGAATCTACACTATCTGAACATGCTTTCATACAAATATGATGAATTATGGCTTTGTCATTCTTGAGAAGAAGATTTTTAAAGAATTTTCCTGTACATTTCTATGTAAAACTTTGGTCGGCCATTTTGGCCCCGCCCTACCCCCGGGGGTCATGAATTGAACAAACTTGAATCTACACTACCTGAGCATGCTTCCATATAAATATGATGAATTATGGCTTTGTCATTCTTGAGAAGAAGATTTTTAATGAATTTTCCTATATATTTCTATGTAAAACTTTGGTCGGCCATTTTGGCCCCAGGCGTAATGATTTGAACACACTTGAATCTACACTACCTGAGGATGTTTCCCCATAAGTTTCATCTTTCCTGGCATTGTGGTTCTTGAGAAGAAGATTATTAAAATATGCCACCAAATTTTCATTAATTCCCAATTATCTCCCCTTGAATGAGGGCGTGGCCCTTCATTTGAACAAACTTGAATCCCCTTCACCCAAGGATACTTTGTGGCAAGTTTGGTTGAAATTGGCCCAGCGGTTCTTGAGAAGAAGTCGAAAATGTGAAAAGTTTACAGACAGACGGACAGACAGAGGGACGGACAGACAGAAGGACGCCGGACAAAATGTGATCCGAAAACCTCACTTGACCCTTCAGCTCAGGTGAGCTAAAAAGTTTGATCCAGATAGGGCATATAGTTACTTGGGTATGCACTTGTTCCAAAGAAAATAATTGAATCTCAAATGGAAATGTAGGTCAGATCCAGCATACAAAGCAAGCCAAGTAGTGTGCATACCTAGATGTATCACCCATGCCAGTCTGGTCAAGAATGGGCTTCAAGTTACATGGGAATGGATCTGCTCATTCAACTTTAACTGGGATGCAGACACCAATGCTGGAACTATACCACAAGCTCATCCTGACTTTATTGGGGTTGAAATGAAAAATATTTACTTACTGTAGTCAGGCTGTGTGGAGTGGGGATAAGGGTGTGGCTTCTCTACAGCCATCATTTTGTTGCTATACTGATAGGACTGTGAGGGTGTGGGGGAGAGGGGCTACGTCCTCTTTTCATGCTCACTGGCTATAAAATGATAGAAATAAAAGTTTATCTTAATAATCTGATAATATTATCAAATGGTACTGAAAATTTAAATTTTGTTCCTTAAAAAATATTACATGTAGTTCAATAGCAACGTTAATTGTTGGCCACATAAAAATTAAATTATTACTTTTAACTTAAAAAAAGAAGTGTGTGATGTGATCAATTTAATGAAGTACAACATTCTTTGCATGCAAAACTTTTTTCCTTTGAAGTAAAGTGTTATTTAATACAAGCGTACCTGAACCATGCTGGTTGGCTGGGCGGTCTGTATAACATAGGACGACCAGACATGGCATGAGGCAGACCTAGGACTGTACTGTGCTGCATAATCTGCAACTCACTGCATAAATCAAATGGAACACACTGTATACATCTAATCAATCTGCCAGGGGTTTTCCTACCATTTTTCAACAGGGTCCGGGGTCCGTAGAATTGGGAAAATTGACGCGAAATGCGTTCAAATTGGGAAAATTTTAAAAAGGACCAATTTTGTTATTTTCCTATATAAATGAAAATGATGGGACCAAAAGTGTCTTGTTTTACAACAGAGTGAACAACTGTAGACAGATATAAAGAGCTGCACATTATTCAGCTGTTATTGGATAATAAGAAAAAAATGCAGAAAATAGTTTTATTGCTATATACACGTGTATTCATGTAAAAAAAAATGTTTAAACGGGTATTATAATTTTAATTGGAAAATGAAAAATTTAAGAAAATATAGTATTTTTAAGTTTTATTGATCATGGGTGAAATAAGGAAAAAAAATTAAGAATTTTTTTTAGTTTTTATATAAATTATTCCATTCACAACTGAGAATAATATAATTTTTTCTTGTTGAATAATAAAAAAAAAATGCAGGAAAACATTGTTTTGTTGTACTTTGCATTCATGATTGGAGTAAAAAATAACTTTAAAAATACTTTGAAATAATCTTTATGAAGTTAATTGTTATCTATATTGATTTTAGTGTGTAGTAACACTAATTATACCAAAGATTATATTAATGAGAAGGAAGATAGAAAAGTAGGATGACAGATTTTGTGCGTTTAGGCAAATTAGTCAAACCCTTCCTATTTTTAGATAATGCAAGGAAGTCCACAGTAACTTTGGAATAAGCTCAATACAACTTTCATGATAACTTTGTACAATCTTTAAATGATCAGTATAGGATTTATGTGACTTAAATGAAACATGTGATTTAATAACTAGTCATTTAATATCGTAGGTGATTTACCAAATGTGTTGCATCACTTATATTTATAGCTCGAGGATCCGATCGTATGTTGACACCTTTTGAGATTTTCAGATGTCTTGCAGGGAAACAAATATTTTACTTCTTTCTGAACTCTCTTTAATTTTTTTAAGGATACAAAATTGGGAAAAAAAGATTCAGAATTGGGAAAATATGGCTGATTTTTTGATTGGGAATGGGTCCGGTAAAAGGACCCAAAAATAAGCCAGGAAAACCCCTGATCTGCCCATCAAAAGAATCAAAATGTCAAGAACTTTTTTTCCCCTTTATGAAATCCTGGGAAAAAAGTCCTGATGCATTGATTCTCTACGCATTAATTTCTTCCCCCCCCCTTCCTCATCAATTTGGACTCAACTTAACAGTCTGAATGTCTAGTTTTCCCTTTAATATCTATAAAAAAATACCTACAGTATAATTCTTAATGAAAATCTTGGCTGTAATTAACACTCAATGATTTATATTCTACCTTTGTTCTTTCAATTCACTTGTTTAAAAAATGTATGCTGTAAACCCCTAAAAGCATTCTTTATTTTCTACCTTTGTTCTTTCAACTGAGCTTTTTTACGACTCTCATCTTCTTGGTGCAAAACTTTCTTCAGCTGTGAGAACAGTTCATGCTTCTCTGTCTTAAGTTCTTCCATCTTTTTGTCAAGTTGGGCAATCTTACATAAAAAGAAAAATAAAAAAATTCTTTCTGAAGATTGTTTTATGAAAAGTTTGTTCAGTTACATAGTTGAACTTTAATTGCAGAAAAAACATTATTACATTGATTTCGGTTAAACATTAAATACCAATGGATTAAAAAAAAAACAAAGTTATACCTGTTCTTTTGTTTGTTCCAAAGTTAAACTGTCCTCTTGTTCTTTTTTCTTCCTCATCTCTTCTTCTTTCTTCAATCTTTCCATCATTATTGCATCTTGCTCTTGTGCTATTTGTGAAAATAATTATTGACAAGTTTGGCTTTCCAGAAAGCCTGAAATGTCATCTCTTTGGCTTCATTAATGTCACAGAATAAACAGTAAAGTGTAATTTTTTCTCAACTATTACAGATTTTTCTATTCTTCTGGGGAAGGGGAGTGGCAGCTTACCTGAACAATTTTAGATTAGGAAAAAGGACAGTGATCAAAATCTTATGCTGTGGATGAGAAGGGAATATTTTGATTTTTTTTTTTTTTTAGAAAAACAAATTCATTTTGTTAAGTACATGACTATATACTCGAACAGAAAGTGTGGATAAGGGAGGGGCTGGCATTGAACAATTACAGCAGTAAAAAGTTAAAAGGGCTGGTACACAGATTTGTAGATCTGATTTTCTAAAATTGTTTAAATAATATCACGATTTATATGTTGCTATAGCATTTTACACTGCAAGAAATATACTAAAATAATGTTTCAAAGTCTCTTTTATCTGTAAATTATCAAAACTACAAACTTTGAGACAAGTTTCATTGACATATATCCTAGCACTTTCACAAAGTAAGCTTAATCCATGATAGAGATAACTCTTTATGACAAAAGTGCCCATTATCCCTTTATAAATTTGTCAAATGGAAGAGTTTTTTGTGCAATTTTGCCCAGTAAGCCATGCTATAATTGAATTTTACATCGCATTTCCATTTCCTCTTAATAATCTTAAGATTATTTTTAATGTAAAAAAAAAATGTTTATGTCCCACTACGCAGTATTTGTAAAATTTGTATTAAAAAAAATCACAAGAATTACTCGGGTAAAATCTTAGCCTTCCTTTTGACGTTACATATTGCATGTATTTCGCAGCTTCTTACTCTATGTACTCTGACAGCGGACAGAAGCGCTAACTTAATCAACTCCAAACCTATCCAAAGATTTCATGTTAACTAAATTCCCATTCCTTAAAGTGATATGGTCGTCAAACCCCTTTGGTTCTAAAGGGGGAGATGAACTAAACTTACATCAAAAAGTTAACTTAAAAAAGTCGACTTTTAACAGCACTGGTGGATTTAGAGGGTGCCCAGACTCACAGTTTTTTGGTCCAAAATATACATAATATTTAATTAAATCATTTTTTGTGTGGCTTTGGGCCCCTACCCAACGTTAACATGCTTTTAAGCATAAGTAAGTAATAACATTTAAATGCTATCAGCTAAAATCAAGCATTTACAAATTATCAGAGAAAAGTTCTCATTTGCCAACCCCGAACTTACGGCTATTTTCGGATTATAGAGTATTGTGCCATTAGTGGCCGTCCAAATTCACATGCAGTGCGTATATTTTTTTGTGTTTTAGTAAACTTTATGTGCATACTAAACATATACTATTATGTATTATAATTTGGTCTTCATTTCAATAATATAGGAGGGGTGAATTAAAGATGTTTTTGACATTTATGCAATTAAAACTGCATAAAGAAAATGATTGCAAGTTCTTTAATCATGATAAATCCTTAAAAAGAATAGATATTATGCAAGAAAATACTCATAATCATTCTTTGTGATCTTTCACTCAATGTCTGTAGTTTTTTTATAGACATTAATGTATCCGCTTATAACTTGTGCTTTTAATTTCTCAATGCATTTGATTTTATAATCAGACTTGTATTGATTTATTTTTTTTAAAAAATGACACAGCGTTATAGAATGACTAATGTACCAAAAAATTGAAGTTTTCACCATCAATTTCTATTAGTCAGTAATGCGATTACTTATGTGAATGTTTTTATTTGATGTTGCTTTTCTGTGAATTCTTGGATCCACGCTTCGGCTGCAGAGGATCTTTACACACGCGCTGACCTAGTTAGAATATTCTATCGAGTTCTGGCCATCATTTAGGTAATAGCCAAGAAGACTTTACATATAAGAACATACAGTGTATATTTTGGAAAACCCCATTATTCAGGCGATTGTGTGTGTTGGTCTCTGTATGATATGATTTCTTTGCAGCTTGTTTTCTTTATCAATAATAAGACAGATCACTCATTGTTTACATCTCTATATTTAGAAAATGCATCATCGCGTCAAACTGAGCAGTCGGTGATCTTCGGGTGGCCTCGCACTTTTTGAATGTAGCGTAGTATCGCTGCTTACACTGGGACTTCACATCAGGAAATCCAACTTAATGTGTCATCTCTCGTGAGAGATGACAATAAGCATCGTACTTCTTTTCTAAATTTTTCTTGGCTTTCAAATAAGCCTAAACCGAAAGTAGATCACACACTTCTTAGCTAGTTCTTCTAAAAGAAAACCAGTTTATAGGCTACTTGGAACTCCTTGTGTAGATTCTCACTTGAGATATTGTAAAACATCGAGGATTCCCGAAGAATTAATGGAGGCTTACACTAGGACTTCACTTCCGGCATACAATCTTAATGTGTCATCTCCCGAGGGAGATGACAAAAAGTTTGTGAAATGTGAAACTAGAAACATTCATCTTATCTTATAATAAGCATTAAAATATATTTGTTTTGTGTCTTAAATATAAATTGAATCATTCTTTCTTCTGTTCACACATATTATAAAATATAGACATCTTTATATGTAATGATAATTTTCATTTAAACAATCAACATCTCTTTCACTTAATTATTTTCCAAAAAAAATTAATCACCCTGTTTTTTCCTTTCTCTTTCCTTCATTATATGCCTTTTCAAGGCCTGGTACATTGTCTTTGTCATCTTTGGTCGGTCAATGAGTGCCCCTGGCATGATTGCTTGTATAGCTTTTAAGTCCTTTAAAGAAAACAGAATATTGGTTTTAGAAAAATTGATGGTTAATTTTTCTGAAATATCTTAAATTCAACATACAATTAATTCACTCCTTATGATATGTCCTGAAAATAGTAACATATTAAATTAATGACTTTGATTCAAAAATGAATAAAAAGATAAGATAAAGTTTTTGATTATTCAGTCATTGAAATTAAAGAAGGAAAATAATAAACTTCAAAACACAATGATGAGGAAATTCGAAATCAAACATTCTTTGATTTAATTTTATCGGAAATAACTATAAAATGTTTCATTCTCTGGTTCTTATTGGTAATTTACTTAAAAATTAACAAAACAGTTTGCCATAAGTCATTTTTGATCAGTGTCAGTGCAAATTTCTCTCAATATTTACCTTCCCGAATTAGAAAATTACTTTGGAACTCTTCTGTAAAAGAAATCAAATTTCATAAGTCAACATGGCGGAAAAACGAAAATCATAACAAACGATACCAACATTTTCCCTTGTGTTTGTAATGTTTAAACAATTCCAGTATTGTTCTCTGTGTCGTTTCAGCCATAAAAAGAAGAGGAAACATATTTATTCTATCAGACATCAAAATGTAGTTAATAATATACTGGAGAAGTTTATGAAAAAGGTACCAAATGCTTGTGATTCATGGCGGACAACTCTTTCATGTTCTTTTTAGATTACCTTAGTTTTTCTGGTCATGTTTTTTTTTTTAATCCCTTCATTTGCTTTGTCTTTATTGTCTTTTGTCATTGTATTTTTGTCATTACTTAGTCCACCTCTTCTAACCACACAAGGCTAACATGTCTTTAAAAAAAATTTTATTGAAAGATCTAAATGCTTTTTTTTAAATTCTAGTCCCATCCAAATGTAAATTTTGATTGACACTCACTTAAAAACCTCTTAGATTTCATAAAATTTAGTGATATTACATGTATAACATGATTAACCTAACACAAGACACAGCGACAGACAGCCAAGGGAGTAGCTGCAGATCTGTAGCTCACTGGTCTGAAAAAATAGGGATGGACAGCCAGAGAACTTCAGCGCCACCCACAGCAAAAACCTGTATATTTATTGGGCACAAAAAGTTGCGCTCTGTTTTGGATAAATTTCTCCAAATTCTTACCTAAGTCAATAAAAAGTGTAGATATCAATAATTTCCTTACCCAGGGCTCCCACTGGACCGAAAATATTTTTCGCCACTTATCGCGACAAAAGGAAAGGCATTATTACATCTGATTTCTCGACAATGCAATGCACTTTATGTTATTCCTTTTTTTTATTATGTTAATCACAGAAATTGTTTTAAAATTGTTATGGTTAAAGCTTATTGTAGTGTCCATTTAAAAAAAATAAATAAAGTTGGAATTATACAATTAATTTGAGATATTGAATTGATATCAGCCATCTCTTGACAGAAAATGTCCTCTTGTTTATAATTTTTTTGTTTGCCTGGGAAGGGGGAGGGTGGGCTACAGAAGTAGTAAAAATATATGATATTCTTTAAAAATGTAAATTTTCATCATTTCATTAATTAATTGGGAAAAGAAATAATTAAAAAGTAATGAGAATTAGATTTAAAACTTTATTTTAACAACTTGGACTCTAGACTCCAGGGTATAATATGCAAGCTCGTGTAATTGTAAATAATTCAGTGTAGTTTACTAAGATAATTCTGTTTCCAAACCAATTTCTTTTTCACTATTTGTCAGTTTATGGTATAATGTACACATTTTTCAATTTTTATTAGGTAAAATTTGAAGCTATTGTTTACAATTTTCGTCATGTTTCCCTACTTTCGGTTTTAAAAAAAACGATCTCCATAGATCCAGATTTTGTTGATAAATGTTTTTTTATTTACTAACTTCATCTCCTTATAACACTTTATCCCCCCTTGTTTAATCCAAGTTATATTATTTCAAGCAATTTTGTAACCCTTTATTGCTCCAGGCTAGTTACCTAGTCAGCTGTGTTCGTTCAAGCGAGACGTGATTTCCTACATGTAGGTTTCAATTTTCACACCTCTGCTGAATTAAATAAACAATGGGAGTTATCTGTATACATTGAATAAACAAAGGAGCTAACCAGGACTACACAATTTTTGTACATGGTACATCTAAAAAAAAAATCATTTTCGCCACTTATGAATTTCTTTTCGCCACTTTTGAAAAAAAAATCGCAATTGGCGACAATGGCGAATCACAGCTCGAGCCCTGCCTTACCCCTCTATGAATTAAGTACATGTACTCTTGTAGTTGACATCTGCACTAATACGCAAGTTTCGAGATTATCTTTCTTGGTGCGCTCTGTCGTTGAGAAGGGGAGTTTCGTTGCCGCGTAAACAAACAGGTGGGACAGATATTTGATACTGTGTATGTTGGATACATTGCATCATCGACATACCGGTTTATCATAACTACAAGATTGTCAAGATGCGCTCTACAACTAGAGTATAACCGAATTAAAGTAAAGGCATCATTTTATATGCAAAAAATCGAAACAAAGAAGAAAATGTCAGTGGATGTGAGACTTTTCGGACGAGGGAAGAGGACCTCTAATAAATACGGTACACATGCATCTGATCATTGCATGTTGGGAATCTAAATGACATATTGATTCTTTTCCTTATTATATAACTTAAAAAACACTAAGTTGTAAGAAAATGTTAGTACAATCAAGAAAATCGGTTTCTATTTATAAAGACTACGATGTTTCTTTCGTATTCAAGTACTCGAAAATTGATAGCAGATTTGTAAATATGCATAGCTGAGCTTGATAAAATCATCAAATGCATCACTGCTTATTCAAACAGCGCACTTGTTTGTGTTTAATAAACATATATTTTTTCAAATGGGTGGCAATGTACCTTTCTGGTCTATGAATAATCTTTTTGGATAGCTACAGTTCTGCAGCTACCAAGGGAAGTGATTTTAACAGGAGAGAAGAAAAAGTTAAACATACCGCACAGGGATTTAAATAAAGATAAATTCATTTGAATTTATTTGGGATATATTGTGGTTCCAGACTTTACTCCTGAAAAAAAATAATTTGGAGCAATTTCCACAGTCGGAATGATTGCCAGTACATGTAGTTACTTTTGGAGCTTGCAGTGCTAGCTATAATTGCTTTAATTAAGGGAATATAAAGTTATTAAAATGGTGGACCATTTCTTTATCTCAAAAAGGAGATTTATATATTTGAGGATCATGGAGTATTACTTCGGTAGAATGCAATTATTTGTAGGAAAAACCTTCAAGCTTTTAATTTCAATTTGCTTCTTAAAACTGCATGAATCATTTGATAATATGTTAAATACAATTAGATGAGTAGTAAGAATGGTAGAACTATCTCCCTGGCTTGTCACCACCAGGACTGTAGGATGAAATCTTGTTCTAGAGAAGGTTCTGTCTACAATTTAAGTACTTAGGCTTGGGAACAATATATATATATATATTTAGATAACGTAGATTAAGATGTCTTTAGGAGGTTGTAACAATATTACACTTACTTATTTCAATTTAATTATTATTTGTGTATTAATCCTTTTATAGATAACTGAAGCCAGGTCCTCCTTAGAATCTCCACAAATTGAAAGTGCACATTATGAAAGAGGAGCCAAGTTTTGGTGCCATTTTTGTGTGGAGGAGTATATTAAACACATGGAGCTTGACACATGTACTGTTAAATATGGTGGTCTCATCGAACATATAGCAAGGTATAACCAAAAAAAAAAAATTGTGAAAGAAATGAAATTTGACCTGACTGATTTATTGTGTACATTTTTAGTGTTCCTTAAGTTTTAGAATACTGATAGTCATTATTCAGCATCAACAAAGGTCTTTTGGTATTGTGATTTGGTAGAACGTCACTTCAGTTTTTTTGTTTTTTTCACAAGTCAATTTTTCTGCTTGTACATGTACTTCACACCTTCTAGAAGCTACTTTTTGATCTGACAGAGTTTAATACAAGTATTGTATCTATTGTATGAAAAGATTAATACACAGTTTTATATGTATTTTACTAATTGCATCATTTGTTATTATAGTTTTGAACATAAGAGGAAAATGTACAATTTCTTCTATGAAAACAAAGTGGATGAGAGCAAAAGACACCCAGATCTATTCCACTTGTCAGAGGAGGACCTGAAGAAGTAAATAATTAAAACCAATTTTCATTGGATAAAATATTTAGATTTTTTTTTTCTTAATTTGTCTATTTGTTTTTGGACTTTGTAAAGTAATCTGATAAATGGAAAATTTTACATGTTGTCAGAATGAATAATATAAGAGAAAAACAATTATGCCCATTCAATCATTTGTTGTGGATATTTACCGGTACATTAAAGTTGTGAAGGAGTCTAGAAAGCTCTTTATAATCGCATTGGTGAATGAAAATTAAAAATATGAGTCTTTAATACAAAAATGAAATATTCTGCAGGTTTCAAGAGAAAGTTGCCATTTATGCAAAGAAACATGATGCCACAAGAAAGGAGAAAATAGAAAAGGTATTAGATTTTAAGTGTTTGCCATCATTATTTTTGTAATTCCACCACATTAATAATTTGATGCAAAAACTTTTTTCACATACATGTAAGAGGATAGATGGAAGATGTTAAATTTTCCAAAAATTTTTTTTCCAGTCAGCAATTAGGATTAAAATCATAGAGGCAGTTAGGAAACAAATGGTGCAGTCAGAGCAGTTCTCCATGGTGCAGGTGTGTGGGGCCTGAAACGTATCCATAAAATCAGGATTAATTCTGTGTCAGGGTCAATCAGGGTTAATTCTGTGTCAGGGTCAATTAAAGTCAATTCTGTGTGAGGGTTATAGTAATCTTTTATTGAGGCATTCCTATCAGTGATTAACATTTTCATGTATAGGGACAGAATTGACTTTGATGACTGGAGACAGTCAACTAAGCTTTAAGTAAAAATGCATAGTCTTCATGTATTTTATGTCATTTATTCATTTGAATAAGAATGGTAGCCTTTCTGTTTAACTGCATACTGATTTGAAAAGAGTTGCAATGCATTGCCATCTCCTATGGTTTTGAATATTGATCTATGGCCTATAAATGTTTCATTTGATGTAAAAAAAAAATTATCAGTTTTTAGGAAAGCTGTGATACAAAGGAAAAATTCTTTCTTAAATGTATACTTTAGGTCTAAAACTCTAGTGTCTAGTGTTAGTAAAAGCAACTTTGTAAACCAAAACTGACAACATTTTCTTATCTCTGTCCAGTTTTCCTAGCCAAGTATGGTAGCTAATTTCTCGTTTCTGATACTTTGATCTATTATATTTTCTGATGGGAATTCAAGCATTTCAAGATGTGTCATAAGGAGAAATGTAATGCATTTTTAGCAGAGCATCATAGGTAACAGAATGTCTCACTCACTCATAACAAAATCATGTATTAATCATTATAATTAGAGCTATGCACCAGGAACTCTTAATAATGTAATGTTA